GGTGGGTCACACCTGTAATCCTAGCACTCTGGGAGGCTGAGACGGGTGCATTGCTTGAGATCATGAGTTTGAGACCAGCCTGAGCAAAAGCAAGATCTTGTCTCTACTACAAATAGAAAAACTGAGGCAAAAGGATCACTTGACCCCAAAAGTTGGAGGTTGCTGTGAATTATGACACCATAGCACTTTACACAGGGTGACAGCTTGAGACTCTGCCAAAAAAAAAACCTCACAGGCATTCTAAAGAGGTGATTTCTTCCCTAAGAAAGGAGAAAAATGGCTTGCTGAAATACGAATCTTGTTCAACTGCTCCAGGGCAAATCAGAAGGAACTGGGGGGTGAGTGGAAAGCAAGATCTCACATTACGGGGATCAAGAAAGGCCCGTGGGACCGAGGAGAGTGGGCTGAGTGAGGAGAGAGCAGCAAGATAGGGTCAGCAAAACAATCATCTGCACTGTCTTCTGCCCTTTTAAGTAAAAATTTTTAAAGTTTCTTCTTTGAGTAGATTCTTAGGAAGGGAAATAAATAGATTTTTTTTAAGGAAGAAAATAAAGAGCATGCGGCTGCAGAACTCACCATTTTAATTTTTGGACCGCAGCCCCTGTTAATGGGGCCATGGGGTCCATGAGGCTTCAAGAGTCCAGCTCGTTGAACATATTGGAGTCCAAATTGATTTCTAACAATAATCAAATAGGCTTGATATTTAAAAGCCTCAGGGCACATGTACAAATTAAACACAAGTCTGAGTGAACTAATAATCCATCACAGTGGAAATTAAAGGAAGATTTGCTACTACCCCCAGCTGGCTCATGCCGAACAGCATGGAAAGAAAAAATGTGAAATATTATGATTAAAAACAAAGATCTTCAATCTACTGCCTCAGGAGCTAATGCAGGCCGGGTGCACTGGCTCATGTCTGTAATCCTAGCACTGTGGAAGGCTGAGGATCTCTTGAGCTCAGGAGTTCAACACCAACCTGACCAAGAGTGAGACCCTGTCTCTAGTAAAAATAGAAAAATTACCAAGGGATTGTGGCAGGTACCTGCAGTCCCAGCTATTCGGGAGGCTGAGGCAGGAGGATTACTTGAACCCACCCAGGACTCTGGGGTCACTGTGAGCTAGGCTGATGCCACTGCACTCTAGCCTGGATGACAGAGTCAGACTACCTCCAAAAAGAAAAAAGAA